GGCGCTTGCCGGCCCCCTTCGCTTTTGTCCACGTCCAACTGTTCTAGTCCCGCCCTAGGCTCGCGCTACCGCCGGGAGAAGGCGAGGTGGCTGGGGCTTTGCCGCCTTTGCAACCGAGGCCCAACGGGCGAAGCCTCCTTGGGAGCGGCTATGGCGGCGGCGGCGGCGCGAGTGCCGAGGAAGTCCGGGGCCCGGTTTCGGTGGCGGGCGGGGCACTGGCCGCTGTTGGTGTGGGCTCTCCAGTGCCTCTGGCTGCGGCCGGCGGAGGCCCTGGTGGAGGGCTTGTATTGCGGGAAGCTGGTGTGCTACGACGTGCTCGGGGTCAGGCGCGATGCCAGCAAGGGTGAGATCGCCCGCGCCTACCGGCAGCTGGCATTGCGCTACCATCCGGACCGGCAGCGGGAACCCAGGCGGGATGGCAAAGGAGCCGAGACCGCCCAGGAGAAATTCCTGCTGATCGCCACCGCCTACGAGACCCTCAAGGTGAGAGAGCGGGGCCGGGACCGCCCCCTCCCTCCTCCCGGCCTGGGCAGATGCCTCCGGTAAGACACGCATCCTCCTCCCCTTGTATGAACACGCGCCTCCTCCTCCTCCTCCTCCTCCCCCCGCCGGTCGCCTTGAGAGAGGATGGAGCAGCTGCGGGGGACGGGAATGGCTGACGCCAGAAGGACTCGGAACCAGATGGCCTTGTTTGGTTGGGCCCTGGAGTATTTCCCATGTAGATGATGATTAATTGCAGATCCTTTGGTCCCTAAGCTCTGTGCTTGCACGGGCTTGGCTGGGGATGATGCAAAGTGTAGTGCCGTGCCTTCTGGAAAGATTGCCAGGGCTAGACGTAACCACAGGTGTCAAATCTAGGAAAGGTTACTTGAAGTCAAAAAAGAAAAGAAAGGAGCTCTGCTGCATCGCCTGACAAGTCCTCCTAACCTAATCTAAGCCAGGGCTTCTCAACCTTTTCACCCATTGCACCACTTTTAGGATATGGCAACATCCGAGTATTACCAGTCGCCTAGCAAGGTGTCAAAAACTTGATGATCAAAAAAAAAAAAAAGGAAAAAAGTGATATACAGGTAGTCCTCGACTTACAACAGTTCGCTTAGTGACTGTTCAAAGTTACAATGGCACTGAAAAAAGTGCCCCGCAAGTCACAGCCAAGCAAGACACCTGCCTGCCCACCCGGTGATGCTCTTCCTCCTGTCCGAGGTTTTCATTGTTGTGAGCATTTCTCTTGAGGATTGGCAGCGGGGGTGGGGTGGGGGGGTGTTTGGTTTTTATTCCCCCCGTCTGCTGGGTGGTTGCAGCAGGTTTTGGTCACTTCACATGACCCTGGGACACTGTGACCGTCATAAATATGAATCAGTTGCCAAGCATCTGAATGTAAATCACAAGAGCCTGGAGATGCTGCAACATTCCAGCTGATCGGCGCTTCTTCTGGGCTCAGCAGGTGCTAGGATCAGCGCCAAGCTCCAGCTGGAGCCTGGCGCTGATCCTGGCGCTTCCGCTGAGCCCTGACAGCCCTGCAGCTCCAGCCATCTCTCGCTCAGGCTTGTGCGGTGCTGCCACCGGTTCAGCTCATTCCCCTCCCCCACTACCACTTTTCTAGGATGGTCGTGTACCACCTGCCAAGTGCCAATGTACCACAGGTGGTACCCGTACCACTGGTTGAAAAGCCCTGATCTAAGCAGTCTTGTTTCCCCATATTAGTCAGCTAGAATAATCAAGAAACCTGTCCCACTTTTGCTTAGAAGGGCTTCTTCAGGAAAGCTGCTATTGAAAGACATCGGCTTTGGCAATGAAGTGGAACCTCCCTGCGTTAGAAGCAGTATACAGATAGTCCTCGACTTAACGGCCACAATTGGGCCCCAAGTTTACGTTGCTACGGGAGAAATTTATTAACTGGGTTTTGCCCCCAATTTTATGACTTTTTCTTGCCACATTTGTTAAGTGAATCACCACGGTTCTTAAAAATTAGTAACCTGGTTAAGTGAATCTGGTTTCCCCGTTGACTTTGCTGGTCAGAAAGTCGCAAAAGGGGATCGCATGACTCCGGGACACTGCAACCGTCATAAATGTGAGTCAGCTGTCAAGCGTCCGAATGTAAATCATGTAACCATGGGGATGCTGCAACAGTCATAAGTGTGAAAAATAGTCGTGTCACTTTTTTCAGTGCTGTTATTAACTTTGAAAGGTCACTAAATGAACCATTGTAAGTCGAGGACTACCTGTGTTTGGATGCCAGCTTTTAGGGACAACAAGCAAGGACGATCGATTCTTTTATACTACTAGGCTTCAAGGACTGTTTGTCTAGCAGGTGTAACAAATAGCATCTGGGCTAGACAAATCTTTGGAAGAAAACCGCAGGTTTTTTAGGACATGAAACAGGAGGAGACCTACAGAAAACTTTTTAAATTAAAAAATTTAAATTAAATTCCCCTTAAGGCTTTTCTATGTTCTGAATATTTGAAATGTCAGCTTTAGGGTTTGAAATAATCCATCACGTTATGCAGGTGTTTAAAGTGTCCCATGTACTTTAGTAATCTCTACACCTCTGATGTAAGGTTATGTCTTGTCTTTATCTTCAAACTTCAAAAGAAGCAGAAGTTCAAAGAAAAAGGCTTTGAGACAGACTGTTGATTTGAAGTGAATGTTTCCTAACAATGAAGAACAATTGTCATAAAGTGGAGATGTCCTAAGAAAGAGACATTGTATAATCACACCATTGCTACATCAGCTTTTTCAGAAGATGTACTGGTGTAAACATGCAATTTAGGTATAAAAGTGATCATGTTCTCTAAACTTTATGCAGCAAGAGATTCATGACTTTAAAAAAGTGCAGGGTATCACACTTGGCAATATGTCAGTCATGGATGAGTATAAAGTAGCTCTTTAGGTTGCACCAGGAAGTGTATAGAGTGACAGAATACAGGTAGTCAATAGCATCGTTAATTACCAATAATTTGAATTAGCATATTAAACAAGATGAAAACCAGCCCTGAGATGAACATAATAAAGTCCTTTGAACTTGAGACAATTTGAAAACAATGAGTCACGGCTATTATGTTTACAGGTCTCCAAAAGCCAAGTTGAGAATCTTCTAACTTTTATCATATATTAAAAGGTGCCTGCTAGATAGACTGAAATCCAAATAAAACTATGAATTTTACTTTCCTTCTCCAATTTTAATTATACTGTGTGTTTTTAGACCATCAGATTTATAATTTTCTCCATTCAAAATGTTTTATGAGGATTGAGAATGTTTTAAGAAAACTTTCAGCCGTGGTAGATCATTGGAAACCAGTCCATGGAGGACTTCAAGTAGCAAAGAACCTTTTGAATTATTAAATATAGGCAATGTTTGACTTTGAGGACTATAAAAATACAGTAGTTGTCATACATATATTAAAGACATTTTATTTAGGAATTAATGCTAGCAGAAATATTCCTGTTTCCTCTTTTAAGATGGATTCAACACTGGGTGGGTCATAGCTTCATCGTGGAATTTTTCCAGTCCTATTTATGTGTGGCATGACAAAAAGCAAGCCCCATATTCAACATCTTCCATCTTCAATAGACATTTTTTTTTAAAAAAAGAAATGAGTGAAGAGTAACTGCCAATCATATTTTGGAAAGTAACCAAAATGGTGGTAGTTTGATCTATATAAACCAATTTTCTATCCTGCTGACACCCCTTATCTCTGCACATTATATCTCTTCTACAGTATCTCTGAAACAGGAGATATTTTTCCACTTTCATGGCTATAAAAATCTGGATGACTAGTAGATGACTGTGAAATTTTAGTGTTTGGTGTATTTCTTTGCTGTGTTCTTGAGATTTGCTGAAAGCAATTTTACTTTGCTTTCAGTTTTTAGCAAGCATCTTCTCTGTTTCATTTATTCTTGAACATAAGGGTATATACTGTATATCTTGTTTAGTTGTTAGGTGCACGAGTGCAGAAGTTTCACTTCTTTCAAAAACAGGCCTCTTTGGTATGTGAAGGTTGGGATAAATCCTTTTCATCTGCATCAGGATGAGAAATAAGAGTATATCAGATCTTCATCCAAATAACTGCAATGGAAATCTTAGGAAACTGTTAGCAGAGGCTCTATAATTTCTCTATTCTTTCAGTATGTTGAATATTTTGAGAAGTAGGGCATACACTCACTAAGTTCAGTAGGGACAAAAAAACAGTAACATGCTGTTGTCTAATCTAATCAATATAAGTGACGTGTGAAAAAATTGAAGAGGATTTCTGAGTTGTGTGAGTGCAGTTTCTAAAGCCTTCAAAGCAAGTGAATTCAATGAAGCGCAATGCTTTCCTTTATTCTGAAAAATAAACATTTTATTTTAGAAAATAAAAATGATGGATGGTTCAGTCATGGAGTTATTGTGTTATTCTGAAAGTACATCATATTTTTTAATTGTGTTTGAAAGTAAATGTATTGCTTTGTTTAAATTCAGCTTTTAGTTGATTTATTGCATAAATAGAATTAATTTGTTTGACAGTTTAATTTCTAAATCAACAAAGCTAGATATAATTGGCATAAAATCCACATTCAAAAGCATTTATTTAAACTGACATACAACTTATTTTATTTCCTTCTGAAATGGAATATTTCCACATTAAAAAACTGCCAATTTCTTTTTCAGGATGAAGAAACTCGTAAGGATTATGATTATATGCTGGATCATCCTGAGGAGTATTACAGCCATTACTATCACTATTATTCTAGAAGATTGGCACCCAAGGTGGATGTCAGAATAGTGATTCTTGTCACAGTTTGTGCCATTTCTCTATTTCAGGTAAGTACTATATGCTTTTATCCTACTTGTTCCCGTATTCTCCTCTAGTTTGGACATACTGTAGTATTGGATCCAGAATTCCACTTGTATTGTAGGATGGAGGTGAGAAAAATTTCTTCTCTCTTTAACCCATTGTGTGGGGAGCCTACATGGGGAAAGAGGTAATTGATTACTCCCTTCATGTTGCAGCTCAGTAGGCAAGGTAAATATGCTAAGTGTTTTTCTTCCTTTATGTAAACAGTAAGCAATTAAACTTCTAAAGTTTTAAACATTGTTCTTGTGCAATTTTTTTTGGTTGGGAAACAGTGCATACAGGTAATTCTCGACATACAAGAGCTTGTTTAGTGACCATTCGAAATTAGAACGCCACTGAAAAAAATGACTTATGACTGTTTTTCACACTTACGACCATTGCAAGGATCCCCGTGATTACATGATCAAAATTCAGATGCTTGGCAACTGACTCATATTAATGATGGTTGCAGTGTTCTGGGGTCATGTGATCACTTTTTGCAACCTTCTGACAAGCAAAGTCAACGGGGAAGCCAAATTCACTTAACAACTGCATTGTTAACAACTGCAGTGATTCACTAACAACTGTGGCAAGAAAGGTCGTAAAATGGGGCAAAATTCACTTAACTGTTTCACTTAGCAACAGAAATTTTGGGTTCAATTGTGGTCCTAAGTTGAAGACTACCTGTAATTTGTTATGTACACTTGCCATACACTTGACACACACTTGCCACGTATTGGGAATTATATCATTTCTTAATATTGAATTTGTCTATCATGATTCATAAAGCCACATATCAATCTACATATTTCTTTGTTTTTTTGTCATGACATGATTATCCATAAAAGTTTGCATATAGTTAATCTTCACATAATGACGCAATCTCAGCCTGGTGAGGACTATCTGTACATGTTTGAATAAAAAGAGACTGATAAAACACAAACAGGTAGCACATGAAAATAATGCATTTTGGATTTCTTAAAAATTGCATGTCGTGACTCATACTTCTGAATACATAGGTGCAGAATTTCAGAAAAGATGAAATAAACAAGGTTGTACTAATGCAAGCAAAAAACAACACAATAAAGTGAATTTTATATTTAGACCAAATAGCATGGGAAAAAAATAAGGGTTAAAGTTTCTCTAAAGTTAAAATTGTATTTGAATTTGAACTTAACATTTCGTATTTTAGTTTTTCAGCTGGCGGACTAGCTACAATGAAGCTATCAACTACCTAGCAACTATGCCAAAATATCGTATACAAGCTACTGAAATTGCTAGGCAACAGGGTCTATTAAATAGAGCCAAAGAAAAGGGCAAAAGCAGACGAACCAAGGAAGAAATCCGCAAAGAAGAAGAAGAAATAATCAAAGATGTAATAAAAAACAAAATAGATATCAAGGGTGGCTACCAGAAACCCCGAATCTCTGACATTCTCTTGTTTCAAATTGTTTTAGCACCTTTTTATCTGTGCAAATACATAAGATGGTATTTTGGCTGGATTTATTCTTTCAATATCAAAAGGCAAGAGTATGGCGAAGAAGAGAAATTGTATATCATACGCAAATATATGAAAATGTCACAATCCCAATTTGACACTTTGGAAGATCATCAGAAAGAGTCCTTTCTTAAACGGCAGCTTTGGAAAAAAGAAAATTATGAGGTGAGTGATGGTGACACCAGAGAAGTAACACCCCCCCCCCCCAAATATTCTCAGCCTAGTGAGTAACTATAGAGATGGTTTTCACCATCTTTGAGCATTGATCTCATGCAGCAAATCCCAAGTAATTATCAATAGATTTATATGAGCCACAGGGTTGATGTTTTTTCATCCACAGTGCAATTATTATCTGGGTTTGACAGTTGAGGTGCAACAGATAGTCTCCTACTTTTCATTGGTTGGATTTTGTGAAACATACAACTTTCTCTTTAAATAATACACAATAAACGCATAGTCATTATAGTCTCATAAGCTACATTTTTGTTTGCTTCTATAATGTCAAGTTAATAGAATAGATTTCTAATTGAAATTATTTTTTTAAAAGCTGCTTGGTCTATTTACTGCTATTTACGATTTGTAAACACAAGATGGTCTTTCAGGAAGCAGAGTCAATTATCTAGTTCAAGAATAAAAAAAGGAGCAGCCCAGCAGTTGTATGTACAGGCAGTCCTCTTTAACGGCCACAGTTGGGACTGCAACTCAGTCATTAAACGAAGCCATTGCCACCATAAGAGAAATTGTGACAGTACTTACAATCTTACCTCAGCTTTTCTTTGCTTTACAAGTCTGTGAAGTTGTAAATGTGAGGACTGGTCCCGAAATTACTTTTTCATCATTGTCGTAACTTGAACAGTCACTAAACAAGACAGTCGCTTTACAAGGAGTACCTGTTGTCCATCAGAAACTGTTTCATGACCATCCCCCAAGTGAGTAGGTCGTGGCAAACAGGTTTGAAAGAGCAAAATGAATGCTTTAAAATACCAATATCATCCTTTACAAGTCCTGAATCCACTTCTGTGGGCCGCACCCAGATCACTGAGTGGCCCTCAACCTGGTGTGGTCCTCAGGCTTATTAAAACACTGATGAAAGCCATAGCCATGATATACTCCATCCCGTGAAGTGTAGTTTGACATATAAGTACACAATTGCTTGTGATTTGCTGAGATTTACTGGCAGAGCTGAATATTCATGGTTGTAATCAGTTATATTATTTGTTTGTATTACAGTTGAACAAAATTGAGGTTGAGAATCAGTTTAGCATAGTAAGGTTTTGCACTGGAGTGGCACTTGCCCATCAATTTTACCTGTTTTTGCTTAAAATACTAAGAAATAAATGCATGGAGATTTCCTGCAAATCGCTGAATGATCTGCCAGGAAATCATGATCTACTTTTTACCTATTCCTGCTTTAATCTATTTATTTTAATGTTCTTGCCTTATCTAGCTTTTTAGCTCTGGAACCAATTCATTTACACTTATGTAATTCACAATAATCTATATGAAATACCTAATAGATGGATGAGTCTGCATTTGAAAGTGATGTGTCTGCACTGAAATTTGCAATGAGTTTGTGTAAATATATATTGCAGACTGATGTGGGTTTCATTAAACCTTCCCTTTTTAGCTTTACAAACAAGAGCAAGAGGAGGAGCTGAAGAAAAAAATGGCAATGGATCCTCGGTGGAAAAGATACCGGCGATGGATGAGGAATGAAGGGCCTGGAAGACTGACGTTTATTGATGATTGACATGCGCAATCACAGAATTGACAGAATTATTCATATCTAAAATGTTCAGAGTTTAACTGCTTTGTTTCAGTGGTATCCTAAAACTCAGGAATTAATCAGGCAGAAAACTAGTAACATTTTATGATTTTATATATGTGTATACAAATAAAAGTAAATATGTTAATTATACATATATTTTTTTTCACTCTTGGTGTGCTATGGAATTAAAACTCTCTGAGGCAGATGCATTAATTCCTTTATACTGCTATTATAGTAGTAGTCCTCGACTTACAACCATTCGTTTAGGTATCTTTCAAAGTTACAACAGCAGTAAACAAGTGATTTATGATAGTTTTTCATATTTATGACCATTGCAGCATCCTCATGGTCACATGATTAAAATTCAGGCGCTTGGCAACTGCTTCCTACATATGATGGTTGTCCCAGGATCATGTGATCACCTTTTGTGACCTGAAAGCAAATTCAATGGCAAAGTCAGATTCACTTTCCAACTGTGTTACCAACTTAACAACCGCAGTGATTCACTTTATAGCTGCAGCAAGTAAGGTAAAATGGGGCAAAACTCATTTGACTGTCTCAGCACTGGAAATTTTGAGCTCAGTTGTGGTCGTAAATTGAGGACTACCATGTAGGTGTAATCTACAAATACTGAATTTAGGCAGTGAACAAATCTTGGAAAGTTTGTAACATGTCATGATACTTTTCTTCTCTGTAAACTTATTTTTACTTATTTAAAACATTTCTATAGCCACCTTCCTTAAGGTTGAGCTCTGGTTGGCTTAACAGTCAAAAAAGAAAACAATATATACAGCAATAAAAACACAAGAAAGAGTAAAAGCAAAAAAGAAAAAATCTGGTGCCACAGCTACACTTCTCAGATGTCACACACTTCACTCCCACGTTGACCTCACCCTATCCCAGCACTTGGAATAATCCTATTATGAAAGTCACCTTTCTTTATATATCGGAAAAATAATATTTTATAAAGATTGAAAGCAATGGCAGGTTGTTTGTTACATTGCCTGGGCTGGCAAAGAAAGATTTCCAGTAAGAGCAGGAATGGTACTTTTTGCAACCATCTGCTAAAATTCCAAAGCATTAGATGGTGAAACGTGTACAATTGCAATAGTCAGAATTATATCAACAAATTGTTTGGCTAAGACAAAATGTTAATGGAGTATGCCTTATATCTTCTATAGTCCTGAGATTTTTTTAAAATCTTAAGTGTACATAGTGCTCCGAAAAGTAGATTTCTACAGCTGAAAAAAACATTTAACTTTTAAACTGCATTAATAACTGGTGTGCAATTTGGCTGATGATAAACTACATCTACCTTATTTTTTGTTTAAATTCCAGTTCCTTTGGTTGAAATTACAAATATATCAATAAGTATTAAAATAAGAGCATTTGAATAAAGCAGATTATTAAGCCCTGGAATCCAAAATGCATTCGCTCTCATGTACAGAGCTTTTATATTTATTCATTAGGGAAAGCTCCATTGTGACTAGTGAGATGTGAATTTATGTAACATAAAACAATCCCATCTGTGCTGCTTTGGGAGCATTTCTCCAGATAAATGTTCAGATAAAAACCATCTAAGCCAGACATATCAAACACAAGGCCCGGGGGCCGGATGCGGCCCGCAAAGTGGTTTCATGTGGCCCTCAAAGCCATCCTGGAAACAGTGAGGGAATGGCCCCCGCTGCCTTGGCCCTGGCCCTGGCCCTGGCCCTGGCCCAGGCCGGCTGAGAGCCAATGTACAATTTTGTGGTGGCCATCTATGCTGAAACACATTCAGTCTTAGCTCCACAAGGCCATCTAGAAATAGAGAGGAACCAGCCCCTGCCGCGTCAGCTCCGCCCCCTGGGTACATGCTGGGGAGGTGTCACGCTTTGTGAGGAATGAAGAAATGGACCATGCCTTGGCACTTGCCCCGGTCCCACCCCCTTTTGCCAGAGACCCTCAGATCTGTCCCACTCCTGCCCAGGTACCCTTGACGCGAACAATGTAGATCTGGCCATGCCCACCCCATCCACGCCCATCCAGTAGGCCGCACCCACCCTGGCCACACCCACCCGGCCCCCACGGGCAACCGCAATGCTGATGCGGCCCTCAATGAAATTGAGTTTGACACCCCTGATCTAAGCTGACAAATATCTGAAAAAGCATAATTTCTAATGTAAACAGACCAAAATCAGGATCATTATTACCTTATAATATCAACATTACCCCTCCTGATGTCCAGCTGTATTTAATTACAGCCCCTATTATCCCCAGTCAGGCACACTTTCTGGATATTTTTTTTTTAATGAAGTTGGTAGAAAGGAATATAAGGGGAATATGATATAGTGAGCTGTCAACCCCAATAGGCAGAGAGAACCAAGAAATCAACTCCAAAAGAAGGCTGAGTCTGCTTTTATAGAGAGATGTTATACTAACAGAATCTTGAAAGTTTTCATCCTCCTCTTCCTCTCACTGAATCAGAGTGGTATCAACTCGAGCTGCTGCTTTATAGTATGTTACCTTGTTTTGCTGTACTAAAAAATTGGTGTTTCCTTTGCCTAGGTCAGGGGTAAGCAACCTTGGCTCTTTTATGACTCGTGGACTTCAACTCAGGAATTCTGGGAGTTGAAGTCCACGAGTCATAAAAGAGCCAAGGTTGCCTACCCCTGGCCTAGGTTCTTGCATATCAGCCAAATGGCAGACAGAAACATACTACACTTGCAGCAGCATAAGAGATATTTCCTTAGCACTTGAGTGATTCTCAGATCAGATGAGGATTTCCTCAAATATAAACATGTACCCTTAAGTACTTCATGGTAAAAATGTCTCTACGCTTTCCTGTTATGCACTGTTTTTGGAATGTTTCCCTAATTACATATCTTGCTTTCTGAACTTGCAAGGCATTTTTACCTCCATCCACCCTACAGTCTTTAGAACAGAAGACTTTTTTTCATTCAGTAAGGCTTGACACTAGAGTAATGAGTAATTTTACAATCTCAAAGCCATATTAAATAAAACTCAATGTTATTCTGCTCAGAAGTGTAAAATGGGAACTTTGAGAATCTGGGCATCAGAAGTCCTCTAAGCAACTGTATTTAAACTAGGAATTTCAACTGCTGCTGGTATACCAAGATGGAATCTACCGTAGAAGTAGCCAACTGTGGAACTGAGTAAATGATTGCCACTTTAATTTAAACTTTCAATGAAAATGATAAATAATAACACAATGTCTCTGAACTTACATTTTCAGAGCATTTTGTTTCTACCATCAATGGTAAGATGTAGCTTCTTCATCAATATGACCAGTAGAACTTGCGACAGAAAAGGTTACAAACTACAGTTCTATATTAATTAAATCAGAAATTATTTCCCCAAGAAACATGCATATTAAAGAACATTTTATTTTAGACGAGGTCTATAAGGAAAAACCCCTTCATGGATCACCCTGCCAACAAAAGTACGTATAGTCAAGGCCATAGTTTTCCCAGTTGCAATGTATGGATGTGAAAGTTGGACCATAAGAAAGGCTGAGGGACAAAGAATTGAGGCCTTTGAACTATGGTGCTGGAGAAGACTCCTGCGAGTCCCTTGGACTATAAGGCGATCAAACCGGTCAGTTCTGGAGGAGATCAACCCTGACTGCTGTTTAGAAGGCCAGATCCTGAAGTTGAAACTCAAATACTTTGGCCACCTAATGAGAAGGAAGGACTCACTGGAGAAGAGCCTAATGCTGGGAAAGATTGAGGGCAATAGAAGAAGGGGACGACAGAGAATGAGGTGGCTGGAGGGAGTCACTGAAGCAGTAGGCGTGAGCTTAAATGGACTCCAGAAGATGGTAGAGGACAGGAAGGCCTGGAGGAACGTTGTCCGTGGGGTCGCGATGTGTCAGATATGACTTCGCAACTAACAACAACATAAGGAAAAAACATTTAGGTCCCTGTTCAGCAACTACCGCTGGAATTCTTTGTAGTGTGAATGTTTATTTAGAAGTAAATTATACCAAGTTCGATGGGACTTACTCCATATCCTAATAAGTGTGCCACCTATACTGTGTTACAACAAACTTACATGGATTGTTAGAAATTCAATTCATTTTGTGAAATAGCTTCAAGAAATGTAGTCCCATTTATTTACAGTCATCTCAGACTTTGACTTTTAAGATTCATGCTCATACCTGATTGCCAATGTCTGTATTATTGATGAATTATTTTCTAAACAGGAATTGTGAGACTCATGAATGCTCCATGGTGTTCAACTACCGGTAGCTTAGATTTCCGCAACCTTCCTGCCTCCAGCCCTTTTCTATTTTCGCTCTTCAGTCAGTCTCAGCTTTAGTGATATACAACAGATTCCTTTATGTACACATGGGCATGTGATGGTGACTCTTCTTTCCTGGTTGTGAAGCTCGGGGAAGATAGTTCTGAATTATTCATGGTTTTGCTAGAAGGAAAGCTTTTTTTAAATTAAGTCTTTCTGTGCTTAGATCTTCCAAGAATCTATTCTGCTTCCAACCTCCCATTCAGAATAGTTTTGCAGCAACTGTTCTGCTGAGGAAGAAAGATCATTTATCTTAGACATACGGTGAATATAAATGCCTTAGTCCTCTGTAACTTTAGAATTCACACAGGTGTAACAACCCAGGTATAATAATTGTCAATAAGAAAGACAAAAAAGTCTGGCTATAGTGGACGTAGTAGTACCTAAAGACAGGAGAACAGAAGAGAAAGAACTGGAAAAAATCACAAAATACAAAGACCCGCAAATAGAAGTAGAACAATTACGGCAAAACAAAGCAAAAATAGTACCAATAGTTGTAGGTGCCTTGGATGCAAATAGTACCAATAGTTGTTAGGTGCCTTGGATGCAATCCCCAAACATCTGGAGCACCAGATGCTCTGTCTGAAGCATCTTGAACACTGTCAGCATTGACCAAATCACTGTCAAGTCAACTGCAAAAGGCAGTTTTACTTGGAATGCTTACATCCTGCAACAATACTTTTAATACATCAAACAACAATATCTGCCTATTCCATGTCTTTAGGAAGGACTCAATAATCAAGTCCACTCTAAACATCTGGCTGATTGCAGCGAATTATAATAATAGCACATTTGGAACCGAGATGGAAATCTCTTTTTTCCTTCT